GACATCTCGGCGGAGCTTTGCAGGGTTTCCTACGCCTCCTTCGATGCTGCAGTTCGCATGGTGAGGGCTGCTGGCCCCGGGGCGCTGCTAGCAAAGGCGGACGTGGAATCTGCTTTTCGGTTGCTTCCAGTGCATCTGGAGTGCCATCATTTACAGGGCTGTGCTTTTGAGGGCCAGCTCTTTGTGGATATGTGCCTACCTATGGGTTGCTCTCTGTCATGTTTCTATTTTGAGTGCTTTAGCACTTTTCTAGACTGGGTGGTGCGGAGGGAAGCGGGGGTCTCTTCCCTTCTGCATTACCTAGATGACTTCTTGTGCATAGGGCCGGTGGAGTCGCACGTCTGTGCCCTCTTGTTGCTGGTTCTCGGGGAGGTGTTTCAGCATTTTGGTGTTCCGTTGGCTCATGACAAGACGGTGGGTCCGGTCACGTGCCTTAGTTTCCTGGGCATCGAAATCGATTCGGTAGCCGGGGAATGTCGGTTGCCCCAGGACAAGGTCCTGGACCTGTGCCTGGCGGTTTCACAGGCTCTAGGGCGGCGGAAGATCCAGCTGCATGGTCTGCAATCTCTGCTAGGAAAATTCAATTTCGCTTGCAGGATTTTGCCCATGGGGCATATCTTTAACAGGCGCTTGGCGGCGGCGGCGACATCTGGGGTCGTTCATCCGCATCACTTTATCCGGCTAACGCGCCCCTTGCGGGCTGATTTGGCTGTCTGGGATTCCTTTTTGGTCTCATATAATGGGAGGTCGTACTGGCAGGCCCCGGAGGTTTCTAATGCGGACCTACATCTGTTTACAGATGCGGCTGGCTCAGCCGGTTTTGGGGCCATCCTGGGCTCCAAATGGTGCGCAGACTCGTGGCCGGAGTCCTGGCACACAACAGGGCTCACTCGGAACTTGGCGTTTCTGGAGCTCTTTCCTATTCTGGTAGCGTTGGAGGTATGGGGTTCCTTGCTAGGGGACAGACGGGTGGTTTTCCATTGCGATAACTTGGGGGTGGTTCAGGCCATTAACCAACAGTCGGCTTCCTCCCCCCTCCGTGGTTCGCTTGCTGCGGCGCCTAGTTTTGCGCTGTCTGGAGCTGAATGTGTATTGTAGGGCTGTACACATACCGGGTGTTCGTAATGTGATGGCCGATGCTCTCTCTCGTTCACATTGGGACGTGTTTCGGGCAGTGGCCCCGCAAGCCGAATTGGAGGGTGTCCCGTGTCCGACAGAGATGTGGTCATTGAGCCTGACAGATTAATGGAATTGGTCCGTAGGTCGGTTGCTGCTGCCACATGGGACCGCTATAACAAGATTTGGAGGGAATGGGACGGGTGGGAGAGGTCCAAAGGGGGATTCCAGGATTCGGCCACTCATCTGCAGGGTCTGGTGCTTCTCTTGGGGGAGTGGGAGGCCATTGGGCTGTCTCCCTCGGCCATTTCGGCGCGCCTGGCAGTTTCTTGTACGCCAGGTGCTGAAGGGTTTGAGGCGAGGTAGGGTGTCTACACGGGATTCGAGGCGTCCTGTCTCGGGCACTCTCTTAACCTCGTTGTGTGAGGCGCTGCACGGGATTTGCCATTCGGATTTCGAGGTTCGGCTTTTTCACCTGGCCTTTTCCCTGGCATTCTTTGGTGCCATGCGGATTGGGGAGCTGGTGTGCCCCAATCGGCAGCAGGTAGGGGGTGTGTTATTTGAGGACGTTACGTGCACCGCGGATGGGATCTCGTTCAGGATCCGCCGCTCTAAGACGGATGTCTTGGGGAGGGGTAAGTGGGTCTGGTTAGGGGCCGTGCCTGGTTCTGGCATTTGTCCTGTGTGGTCCTTTGGGGAATATTGCGCCTTGCGGCCTGCTACTGCACTGCCACTCCTGGTACATAGGGATGGGAGTTTCCTGTCGCATTTTCAGTTTATTAGAGTTTTTCGTTTGGGGCTGGAAGCCATGGGTTTGGTTGGCAAGGAGTTCGGGGGCCACTCGTTCCGTATTGGGGCGGCTACTGAGGCCTCTAGGCTTGGCATGCCTGCGCAGGTGGTTCAGAGGATTGGTAGGTGGGAATCAAGACGTTATGTTTCCTATGTTCGGCCGGAGGGTTTACTGTCGTAATTTCTTTCCACAGTTTCGGTTCCCCCCAGGATTTGGATCATCGGGCACTCTTATGTTTACTGGGCTAGGCAGCGTGCGGCAGGACGGCCTGGAGGCGAGCGGTTGGGTTTCATGCCTTCCGTAGCAGAGGTTCGATGGCTCGGTGCGAGGGGTATGCGGTGGGTTTGGCTCCTCCCTGAGTTGGTGCAGCTTTCTCACCTACTAGGGGTACCAAGTGTCCTGGTGATCCACTTAGGGGCGAACGATTTGGGTTCAGTGCCCATCTGGGATTTGATTTCGGTGGTGAAGGGGGACTTAGCCCGCATTCTAGTCCTATTCCCCAACATGCGCTTGGTCTGGTCAGAAGTCATTGCCGTAACTATTGGCGTGGCGCTAGGAGCCAGAGTGCCGTGGAACGGTGCAGGCGCAAGTTTAACAGGCGGGTTTCCCAGTTTGTTTTGGGGGTTCGGGGGATTCCTATCCGCCATAGGGTTTTTGAGCGTGAGGCGGCCGCATTTTTTCAAAGGGATGGTGTGCACCTAACGGAGGTCGGGCTCGACCTTTTTAATCTCGCCCTACAGGAGGCGGTGGAACAGGCCATGGAGGGTTTTGGTGGGGTTCCCCGCTGATTTAGGGGTAAATCAACGGGTCTGGTGGCGGGGGTATGTCCTTGCCAATTAAGTTTGAAGGGTTATGTTTAAGGATGGAGTAAGTTCATTATGTTTGCAGGTCTCAACCTCCCCTGCTTCAAACGGTTAACATTAGGTTGCCTGAGGTGTCGTGCCCATCGAGCGTGGATAAGGTCGGCTGATGGCGGGCATTGGAAAGAGATGATTTATGATGAGGGGGGAGGTGAGAGGAAGTGGTGGTTAGGAACCACTGTATGTTTATTGGCAAGGACAGTTGGGTCACTGCATAACATTGTGTTGAGTAATATGTTTATATGTTAATTTATGATTATTTATTTTGTTACAGAAAGAAGAGATTTAATAAAAAGTTATGGATGTGTTATGCAGTAATTTATTTATGTTATAATAAATGCTGTGGCCTGTTCATCCATACTAAGTTGTTTGTCGTTATTGGGGGGATGAATGGGGCTAGATTTGTTCTAGGCTGCATCGCGATTCCCCACTACGTACATACAAGACCCTGGGGAGATAGCGCAGCTAAGCGGACAAGGGCACATGTAGGAGTATGGGGATAGATGCAGGGGAGTGACTTGGGTAATGTGTGTGTGGGAGGGGTTAGGTTCAATATAAGTTAGCGTGGGGGAGGTCTTACCTCAGTGCCACTTGGGATTCGGGCCAGCAAACAGCTTCCCGCCCACCCACCCCTTGTAGGATTAGTTAGTCACAGCGAGGCAGGGGTATGTCCTTGCCAATTAAGTTTGAAGGGTTATGTTTAAGGATGGAGTAAGTTCATTATGTTTGCAGGTCTCAACCTCCCCTGCTTCAAACGGTTAACATTAGGTTGCCTGAGGTGTCGTGCCCATCGAGCGTGGATAAGGTCGGCTGATGGCGGGCATTGGAAAGAGATGATTTATGACGGGGGGGGGAGGTGAGAGGAAGTGGTGGTTAGGAACCACTGTATGTTTATTGGCAAGGACGGTTGGGTCACGGCATAACACTGTGTTGAGTAATATGTTTATATGTTAATTTATGATTATTTATTTTGTTACAGAAAGAAGAGATTTAATAAAAAGTTAGGGATGTGTTATGCAGTAATTTATTTATGTTATAATAAATGCTGTGGCCTGTTCATCCATACTAAGTTGTTTGTCGTTATTGGGGGGTTGAATGGGGCTAGATTTGTTCTAGGCTGCATCGCGATTCCCCACTACGTACATACAAGTATAAACTATGTACATAATAGCAGAGGCTTGTGAAGGCCTTTTCTCCATGCATCAGGAGTTGAGCTCAGTTTAAACAATGAAAGAGAATACCCTGCACTCCAACCCTCTCTCAAATGGATAATTCTGTTGATCCTCCTGACAGCCAAGCTTTAGATTTTGATTTATTTTCTTCCAAATCTAAATTCAAATATTCCATCTAGTGGTATTTTATGGCTCAGGTGTATTTTACATTTTTATGTTATTTGAAGTGATTTCCCAATCCAAATTTGTTTGCAGGGCACTTGTCCTACTCTTACCCCCATTTTACTTCCTTTTGCAGCCCTTTAGCCCTTTCCAGGACTTTTTTAGAGGCATTTTTGTGCCCAAAAGTTCGGGTCCCCAATGACTTCAATGGGGTTCTGGTTCGGGGTCAAGTTCGGGGTCAAGTTCGATCACGAACCCGGACTTTTTTTCAAAGTTCAGCCAAACCTGCCGGACCGAATATCCAGGTGTCCGCTCAACTCTACCAGTGGCGAAACATTTCCTGGACTTTCAGCATCCCCTTTCATCACTTAAATTTATTGGGATTGACCATGTTCCGGAATCACGTTGCAGTGGAGACAGAGCAAAGCAACTCCTAAATTGTGAAACTTTTTGGATCCGCAAACTTAATACAAATCTCCAGCAGGCCTCAATGAGAAGCTTACTTATAGTTCATTTTTGTAATTATAAATCTGGCTCTACTTTAGGCTTATATTCTGAAGTTAGTATTATTTCTTTTTGGCTTTTTTTTCCGATAACCTTAGAGCTGCTACTCCTGGGGCCCCCCCAATGCACTATGACCTTTATGGTAGCTTGAGTACTATAGGACCCCATGGAATTACTGTTTAATGAAAGTAACAATCCAAAGTTGGAAGAATAATATAATATATTTCTTGTCTTAGTATATACATAGGGACAGTCTTTAGGTTTCCGCATATTTATCTTCAGTGTAATATGTAATA